CAGACCGCATGCAGGAGAATCCTAAGGCGTCCACACGGAAGCTACCTGAACCGCAGCGAGGTCAGCAGGGCTGAGAGTAAGATGTCGGCACGCAAAAATCAAGAACAGCTGGTACGAGTGACAATCAGCCAAGAGCTGACAAGTAAACACTGAAACCACACAGCATTTTCTGTACGACCACGTCTGACAAAGACACACTGGTTGCGGGGAGGGGCCCATAAACGGCACCTTTTAGATATGTGCGGTTCTTTGATGCTGATCATATTTCAACAAATCTATTTTAAAATGCAAATAAAATACCTCGACTTCAAGCTCCTGGCGCCTGGGATTGTGAACGAAGAAAGTGAAGTTTTCCTCCCACACAGGTTCACTGGTTTTGTACCGAATCTGAAAGAAACAGCCAGGTATCAGCTCTGTGCTACTGCAGCTGCAGGTCTAGGACGGCGCTGATTAAGTTCCAGGACACCAGTTTCCTGAGCTGGATCATCACTTACTAGTTGCAGAAGCTCTAGAGGGTGTCAGGGGTGAACTGCTAGCCACCCTAGCCCGTGTCCCACCCCCGGCGACATGGCCTGCACCGCGTGGTGTGGCCTCCCTCCCACGACATCCTGGGGCTGACACAGTGCTGCACATCAGGAAGCTTCTCAAATTAATGGTTAGCAGTTTAAAAAAAGAGTAATTCCTGAAGTATTTCCTGCAAGTAGGACACATTACAGCAACAGCAATGCCCTCCCTTAATTCCTGAATAAAACTGTATTTGCTGAATTTTAAGCACACTGTTGGCTGTCCTTTAAACAAAATATTAATAGAGCACTGAAAGGAAACTTGGAAATTTGTCCCATGTCATCTACCCATGAAATCAACCAGAAGCACATTCACATGTTCATGTTATTTTTTGATGTTATTTTTAAATGAACAGCATATTTGATATCAAATTACGTAGCTGGTTATCAAATGACTGATTCAAGAAAACAAAAGAACTCAGTGATGGGGGCCCACAGGGAGCCCCCGGGGTGACAGTGACGGACGGTCACAAGAAGCCCCTCAGTGACAGTGACGGAGGGTCACAGAGAGCCCCCTGTGACAGTGATGGGGGCCACAGGGAGCCCCCTGGGTGACAGTGACGGAGGTCACAGGGAGCCCCCACTACCACCAGTGACAGTGATGGAGGGTCACAGGGAACCAGTCAGCACCTCACCTTGCTCTCCTGGGCCTTGTGACCGACCGACATCTGGACAAGTGGGTTTGGGTTGCTGTTTATCTTCTTCCCTGACTATCCACAAACAAAAAACAGACAAAATAAACATCTTGAAATGGGGATTACTAAAAATGGAATTATTGGCTTATATTAAGTCATTTCTATTTACTTCTGATACTTCAGTTATAGGGAGTATCTTGGAACAATTTAATTGGAAAATACTTGCTAAGCATACCCCAAAGCCATAGTTGTATCTACATAAAATAAATTAAGGAATTTTATATTTGCAAACAATTTAAAATGTTAGGGCCTTCTATTTTTAAAGCAAGCTACTTTGGAAAAATGGAATCCTCTGAAAATCTTTATGTTAATTTCAACTCTCAAAACTTATTCTACCAGGATAACAAGATGAATAAAGAGCAAACACTGGAAACAGAAAAACACCAGGAGGACAAGCGTGAAAGAGCGGGAGACTCAGCACAGTCTTCTGGCTGGAATCGTGAAAGTGCTGGAGTCAGAGGCGTGTTCGTACACTTTCAGTTCAGTGTGGCTACCAGGTGTCAAACCCTGCTCACCAGCTGCTAAGTAGTTCTGACTGGAAGAATAAATGTCAATCTAAATTGCATAAATTAAGCAGATTTAAATGCAGTAAGAAAAATCCGGGAATAAGGAAAAATGGTAAAAATCATACTTTAGCACAGACGGCTGACAGAAGAAAACAAGGTGAAATGCAACACATATGGGACATGAGGTTTATTTGTAACTTAGCCCCACAAGATGCAGGTAAACATTTGTGTTAGTGGAAATTAACGAGAAGGTCACAAAACTGTCCTTAATAATTTTAGAGTCAAGCCTCAACACTGCAGCAAAGACAGAGGTATCAAATTCATGATTATGGGGATAAAATATTACTAGTCCAAACCTACTGTGATAATCTATTTTCTGGTTCACCTTTTTGATGTGAATGAATTCTGCAAAATGAAATAAATACTGTTACAAATATGCGGCTACAAGCCACTGCAGTGGAGGACTAGACTACTTCCCCTAAATCCACGTCTCCTCTTCCCAGACTCCGGAGCCCTGGGGGTGGAGCTGAGCGCCGGGTTCTCCATCGGAACCTCGCCTTTGGCCAACCCGGCACCTTGACTCTGCTGCCCGCTCCTTGGCTGGAGGTGGTGAGCACGACAGAGCACAGGCCACAACTGTCGCATGCAAGGGAAATACAGACTCCTGTCTTGCTTAAGCCACTACTGCCTCTGAGTCTTGGACACAGAAGCTGAATTTGTTTCACTAATACACTTACTTAGTCTCTGAAAAAGTAGCCGTTCATTCCCAGAGATTTACTGTAGCTTATCAACTGTAATGGATCCTTATTTTTAAAAACTCTTCTAACATCTCCGAAAACAAAGTGAAACGAATGATTGGTAACATTAAGTACTGCTTTTGGGCAGATTACAGTAGAGTGGTGGTTATCACCGCCTTCACCAATTTATCTTGCTTATGTTTTCCTTTCGTGTGTGCACGTGAGTGATATGATAAAAATCTATGTTCATCCTAAGCCTGAAAGTTCTTTCAATAAGTATAAAATAAGCACTATCAAACCTTAACTAGCCCTTTATTTTCTTTCTTAGAGGTACATAAAACAACGGTGTACAGTTGTCCCTCAGTATCTTTGCAGGACTGGTTCCAAGAACCCCCAGGATACAAAATCTGAAGATGCTCAAGTCTTGTCTATAAAATAGTGTGGGATTATCCTCCCCTATAATTTAAATCATCTCCAGGTTACATACGATACCTAATAAAATGTAAATACTATGTAAATAGTTGTAAATACAACGTAAAAGCTGCTACTTGGAACTTTCTGTAAATTTTCTTCCGGATCCTCAGTTGGCTGCGTCTGCAGATGCAAAACTCATGGGACAGAGGGCCGACTGTTCTTAAAATGAGTGATGTTTTAGATTGTATGAAATAAGGTTAAATCAGTGACTAAGTTTTCTTCAAGGATGCAATACTCAAAATGCATCAGCACAAGTAAGCGACACAGGTACAGTGAAAACACGAGCTTCTAAGTCAAACTGTCTTGAACTTAAATCTCTTTACCACTTGATTACTGAGATCTACTCAATATTTCACGTATTTGAACCTCAGTTTTGATGTCTACAACATGGGCATAACACCATTTCTAGACCCGTCAGAAGGCTTAAACGAGATATTGTAACAATGGGAAACACACGTATTATGCTAGCTACACTGAGCACTCTGCATGCATGACCTGCTGCGACTTACTCAGTTCTCCCCTGGAGAAGAGAGAACACAGCAGGGGGTCAGCACCTCCCCGCAGGTCCTGCTGACAAGCAGCTGGGCGGAGATCTGCGCCCAGACAGGCTAGCCTAATTGCAGAGCCTCATAACCACTGTGCTCTGCTAGGCAAGGTCTTCAGTTACCAAGGAAACAGTGAGGAAAGACTGTGGATATGATTCCTCCCAGTGTTCTGGTGAGGAGCAGTTATCTGAACTCCTGTGCTAAGCAGTGCCCCAAGGAGCAGTCCACCTCACCTCCCCAGTGGAGGGTGCGTGGCGAGGGCTTCACCGACACTGCATCAGAGCAGAGCTTGTTAGTCTTCCTCACTTTGGAAATTTAACTTATTCTTCCAGATGAAACTGAATATAAAATAGTCCTGATTTCTTTGGATAGAATTTTCTTAAAACAGTGACATTTATTTTTTTTTAAACAGTGACATTTAACCTCTCACTCCCCCAAATATTTAAGCATAAAATGTTCAAAGAATCAGAGAAAAAATAATAAAACATTTGTAAGCTATAGAAAACCTTTAACAATACAGCCAGAAAACACATACTCATGTCGTTTTAGGGAGTGGAGCTTAGTTTTCAATACACCTCATTTCATGAAATTCAAAGCTCCTTGAAAGAGCCGTCACCTGAACCAGCAGCGCCAGAAGCCACGCGGTCATCGACTCGGAGGCGGCCCTGCCTCTGCATATTGGAAGAGGTGATTTGTGAGCGGCAAAACAGTGCCTGGGGCAGAACTTTCAGCCATAATCTGAAACTGGTCAGGATTTCAGAGAGAACTTCTATTTCACCACTTTCACAAATTCCGATCCAATTAAAGTGCCGATGATTTAAGGCCTAAAGCCCACAGGGCAGAAGTCAGACTGGTCGTGCTGGTACTGACAACATTTGTCTTCACAGTCGACACATTCTTCTAACCCTGACTCTCGGCGGCAAGAGCAGGCTCTCTCCAGCGGAACCACCGTTGACTCTGTTACTCCACAGAGAATTTGTCAGTAAACCCACGAGGGTTAGAGCATCATCTCTTTCAATATGTTTTAATTAACTTTTGAAGGGAAAACTGTTAGTTTACCTTTAAAGCTTTCTGAACTGCAGCCTTCTTCAAGACATCAGGGTTAAATTCTAATGGGTTATTCTTTCAAGTCAGAAGAAAATGAATATACCAAGGGTTAATAAAACATGCAATGAGATTTATGTAAGGTTAATGACATGAAAATTAATGAGAACAAAAAAATCTTTAAACAAAAACCACCAACAAGAATTACACAAAAAAACATTAAAGCCATTTGTAAAATTATTCTTTATGCCCAAGTGTGTATCTGAGAGTAAAGGTTTAATCTGTAGACATCAAAACACATTTCCTTCCCCTCTATGATTACTATTCCCTGCCCCCGCTTTGGGATTTGAAAATTCCAAGAGTGATGCTTTAGGAAAGGACTCTATTTACTATCCTTCCCTTGAATAAATCCCTAAAATACCACCCATAACTAACCTAAAGGTTTTATCTGAAGTTCAAATGATGGGCCACAGACCATCCTGGTGCACAGCACAGCAGAGAGTGGCCTGCCCTACCCGCCCTCACGCTTTTCCAAGTACAGATGTAGAGGCTGATCAGAGCCCCTCGAAGTTTCCTCTGTTATTATGGGTTTTATGCCCTACTTTCACTGATTTTTTAAAAACTCATTACTTCCTTGCCCTCCAGAGGGCAGGACTGAGTTGTTCTGCAAGATCCTTGGAGGATTAACATTTAAAGACGAAAGATTTTGTGTCACTTTAGTTGTAGTTACCCTCAAATGACAAATGGAACTTTATTATTTTTTAAACTAAACAGCAGATTTTGTAATGAAGGAAGACGGACACCCAGCCCCCCGCCTGCCATGACTGCAGCAGGCGGGGCCGGCAAGAGAGCGAGCACAAGGTCAGGCTGGGCCTCAGCTCACAGGACCCCTTGGGCCCCCCGGACCCGCCTCAGGGCCCGGACAGCAAGGCTGGAACCACTGTCCTGAGGTGTGAGGACTGGCAGTCTGCAGGCACCGTGAGAGCCTTTCACTCTGAGTCCTGGCGCCTGCACCAGTGTGCACATCACTCTAACACGTGTCAACTAAAGTTAAGCGGGGACAGGCCTGGGTGTGGGCTGGGGCACGAGGAGCGTGCGAGGTTGGGAAAGCTGCCGTGGGCTGGGGTGCAATGGGCCAGATGGCCCAGGTGCACCAGGCCCCTGGACATTACTGCACCTTCCACACCTCCTGCACTTTTGACAAAATGAACTCACGTGACTTCCACATAGCGCCTGGGACCATCACACCCAGGGCCTCCATGCCTATGGCAGCATCTTCACGTATAAAGTAGATGTTAGAGCAAACACCACTCCTTTCCATACACAGCATTATGAACTTACACACTTAATAACACGATAGCAAATTCACTTTGTACTAGGATGGACTGGATAGGAGGGTGGAGACTGAGGGCTCTGGGTCACACAGCTGAGTTCAGGTCCCTGAGCCACGACCCTGGGTCTCAACCTCAGTGCCTCATCCCGTGTGGTCTCACCTGAGAAGCAATCGCGACGGCCCGAGACTAAGCAAGCTGTGCACAGGGAGCCAGTGGAAAGTGCTGGGAAACACAGGTGGCCACGGAGGCCTCAGGTTCTGAAGCCGGGAGTCAGAGGACACCCTCTCGTTCCTCTGGGCAAAAGGAGGCGGGCAGAGGGCTGAGGCCCGGGAGAAAGAGGTTGTTTCCAGCTTGGGAGAAGGTCCTGCTTTCAGATGGGGACCCCTGGAGGTGATGCACTCGTTGGGGTGAAAATTTTAAGTGTCCTGAGTAGCAGAACGTAAGAGAGCAACAGGGTGGCCACCTCCCAAACCTTTACCGGAACTAGTGACAGGTCCAGCCTTTGAGGAAACTGAGAACAGGACTGATCTCACTTCACTACCGAAAGCCAATGTGGGGAAAGTAACCCACCTATCCAGGTTTATCTTGCAGAACATTTTGTTGGTGCTTGTATCTGAATCATAAAGCACAGTATGTTGATCTTGGTAACGAGGGAGGAAAGCCAGTCTGGATAACCCAGCAACGCCTCAGCCAAATGTCAAAAAGCAATTTAAAAAATCTTGGCACAAGGTCAGCAGTACTTCCTTCAAAAGAAGCAGACAGAAACTTAGAGAAGCTCCTGGAGGGCGGACTAAGCTCACTCGGCAGGCTGGACTGTCACTGACAGCGAGCGGCCCACAGCACAGACCTCCACTAGGGACCACCTGATGGGAGGAGGACGGCTGGCCGCACGCACGGCACCCTCGTCTGACCCTGCAGCAGCGCAGCTCACCCACCTTCAGGGGCTTGACTGTCCTCACCTATAAAATGGGATAAAACAACTATTTTTCAAGCTCCCCCTCTCCTTCTTTTTAATACTAAGAATAAACTGAGAAAGCATGTGGAAACAGAAATGAAGACCCTTCAAAAACATAAAGCACTACCACCATCAGAGTCAGCGGCCAAATGAACTGTAGGAATCTCACTAGTCATCGAATTAAATCAATAATTAGTTTCTAGACTAATGAACAAGCCATTGGTGGCTTTCTCTGACTTCGCAGCAAGTGAGAATAACTCTGCCAAAAGGACCAAGAGCAGTACCAGGAATCAAGGCACCAGAGAAGGCCCCAGGCAAACACACAATGAGGTTAAAATCAGCTTCCCAGAGAAAGCTAGAAATGCTCAATTAGCCACTCCAGGAAATTCTTTAAGTTCCTTAAAAGAAGCTGACCATAATTCAATGTATAGTTTACCTCCCTGAGCTGCTCTGGTTAAAAGTGAGGGAGAAGGCAAGGTTTCAGGGTGGCAGGTGAATTTCTGTCTTCACTGACTGTCTTCACTGACTGTCCCCGGGGCCGCAGGTGGGACTTGAAAGAAAGCCAAGTTCTGACACTTCTGTGTTTGGTCAGGAGGAGAAAGTAGATTTAAGGAAGCTTCTGAAAAGCTTGCAAACATTTATATCTCACACTGAGATGAACCATAAGAAAATCCATTTTAGTCCCTGTGGCTTCACTTTTTGCTCAGATGATTTTTTAAATCTGTTACAGGCCAGGAGCGGTAGGAGCCCGAGGCTCCCCAACACCCCTAGGTCCATCCACTCATCAGCAGAGGCATCACCAGCGGTGGTTATGGCAAAGTGTCACGTTTTACCAAACAGGCACAACAGAACACGCACAGCAGCGGAGATCATGCGGGAAACAGGCCAGCATGCAGGTCATTCCGCACTGAGGGGGTGCGTGAGGCACTCAGCCGCATTCTGGCAGCCCCACCAAGCACGAGGAGGAAAGAACACTGAGAACTCACAAATAGTGCTCTACAGACTGAGGCGGTATTTTCACAAAACACTAGTCCCGACGCTCGCCTCTCTTTTAAGTAGCCACACCCAAAGTTTCCCTCGTAGATACTCTTGGGAGAGTGGAAACGGGAGGAGAGAGCAAATGTCAGTGAAGGCGCAGAAGCATGGTAACCAGGGAGCAGCGGCAGAGGCGCAGCGCCCCACTGGCAGTGGCGCGGGCAGCGGCTCTGCAGGGCCCTCTGCCTCCGCCGGCCGGAGCATGCTTCCTGCACAGAGCGCCCTTTCAACAGAAGTGAATAAACTCACTTTTCTTCCTTCCTTCCTTTCTTTCTTTTTTTCTGCTTATGGAATTTTTCTTATTTAAATTTCAATTTAATGTGACACAACACAGTTCTAAAGGACAGGTCTAACTCCTTCTTGACAGTTCACCAATACTGTTCTCTACATCCTAAAATACACAGTAAATTCATTTCCATCAGGCATTATAAGACT